GGGATGTTGCCCTCTCTCAAATGTGACCACCCGGGTATCTGGTTCAGCACCATCCGTGCCTGGAGGGGAGGGGAGGGGGGTTGCTTTGGTTTACCGAGCCTCCATCTGCCTCGTGGAGCTTCCATTCCCTTCGAGGTGGGGGCTAGAGTGCCTCTACTTGGTGTTGGGTGACCGAGACAGATTGGGGAGTCTGTTGGTGTACCGTGCACTCTTCTGCCCAACAGTCTCCCTGCCTGAGCTGACGGAGATCGTCTCGGACCTGGTGTTGAGGACCCCCAGGATGTTGGTCCTGGGGGACTTCAATCTTCATGCCGAGACTGGTCTGACCGGGGCAGCTCAGGACTTCATGGCCTCCATGACAGCCATGGGGCTGTCTCAACATGTCACCGGCCCAACCGAAGAACGTGCACACACTCTGGACTTGGTTTTCTCGACGGGGCAGGAAGAGGGTGGTCTGAGGGTGAAGGATTTATGTCTGACACCCCTTGTCATGGTCAGACAAGGTTTGTGCTCGAGAGTGGCCTCTCCCTCTGTAAGAGTGCGGACCCGATTGTGTGGGTCCACCCCTGAATCCAGATGGATCCGGATTGATTCCTGAAGGCCCTGGGGGAGTTTCTGATTGACAAGACTGGTGCTCCTGTTGAGGTTCTATGGAATGGGGAACTATGGAATGGGGAAATGACCAGGGCTGTTGACACGATTGCTCCTAAGCGTCCTCTCCCGCCGGGCAGAGTCCACTCTTCCCCTTGGTATACATCTGAATTGCGGGTGATGAAGCAGGCTGGGAGACGTCTAGAGCATAGGTGGAGGAGGTCACGGGATGAATTTGACTGAACACACTTAAGAGCCCATTATTTGGCCTATGCTGTGGCGGTGAGGGCGGCGAAAAAGAAATTTTTCTCCATTTCCATTGCCTCCTCAAAATGCCGTCCGGTGGAGTGCGTCCCTGTTAGTTCTCCTGAACCTCTCAGTGGCTTTCAATACCATCAACCATGGTATCCTTCTGGATAGGCTAGCATGCCTGGGGGTCAGAGGCACTGCTTTGCAGTGGTTCCGCTCCTATCTCAATGGCTGATTCCAGAAGGTGGTGCTAGGGGACTATGGCTCTGCACCATGGCAGCTATGCCATGGAGTACCGCAGGGATCCATTTTGTCCCCTTTGCTGTTTAACGTCTACATGAAACCGCTGGGAGAGGTCATCAGGAGGTGTGGGCTGCGGAATCATCAGTACACTGATGATACCCAGCTCTACCTCTCGCTCTCTACCAATCCAGGTGAGGCAGTGGCTGTGCTGAACCGGTGCCTGGCCGAGGTAATGGGCTGGATGAGGACCAATAAACTGAAGCTCAATCCAGAGAAGATGGAGGTCCTGTTGGTTGGCTGATCGAGCTTCAGGAAAGGGGAATTGAACTTAGTCCTGAATGGGGTTGCACTCCCTCTTAGGGACAAGGTCCGCAGCTTGGGAGTACTCCTCGACTGAGAGCTTTCACTGGAGGCTCAGGTGACAGCGGTGGCGAGAAGCGCTTTTTCTCAGCTTCAGCTGATGCATCAGCTGCACCCCTACTTGGAGAACGACTGCCTGGTGACAGTGACACACGCATTGGTGACTTCCCGACTTGACTTCTGTAACGCACTCTACGTGGGGCTACCCTTGAAGATGGTCCGGATACTTCAATTGGTTCAAAATAGAGCTGCCAGGCTGCTGACGGGGACTGGGCGTTATGTTCACATGACTCCAGTCCTCTGTCAGCTTCACTGGCTCCCCATTGAAGTCTGGGCCCAATTCAAGGTGTTGGTGATGACCTATAAAGCCCTAAACAGCTTGGGTCCTGGTTACCTGAAGGAATGCTTATGTCCATATATGCCTGCCCGCCCCCTGAGATCTGTGGGAGAGGCCCTTCTCCGGGAACCCTCTGTGAAGGAAATTAGGAGGGTGAGTACTCGGAGGAGGGCTTTCTCTGTGGTGGTGCTCAATTTATGGAATGCGCTCCCCAGAGAGGGCCGCCTGGCGCCATCGTTATTTGTTTTTCAGTGCCAAGAGAAGTCCTTTTTATTCAAACAGTATTTTGATTGTTAATACTATTTATTTATTTTATTCTTTGGCCAGGGCGACTTAAATTATCCTGTTTTATATTGTATTTATTTATTTATGATTGTGAGCTGCCCCGAGGCTTCGGAGAATGGGGTGGCATAAAAGTTCTCTAAATAAATAAATAAATAAATAAATATGGTCAACGTTAGCTGATCTGTAGTATGCACATTATAGGAATTCCCTGCAGTGCAGAAGTAGTTTTTATATACACAGCTCAAAATGTCTGATGTGTTGAATGTCCTCCTTCGAATATTATAAAATTTGCAGATCCTTTGACACCAAGAAACAGAAATTAATGCCATGGATACAGAAAAAGCAATCCTTCCTAGCTTGCAGAAGGTAACTCCCCAATGAATATCATACAGCAGAAAATGTGATTGCTGACTGCTGAAGAAGTAGGAAGCAGTTTAAGGGCCTAAATGGCCCAGTCCATCAAAACACCACAGCTGACCAGTAGGCCAAGGTGGTTGTGGAACCTGCAGCCTCAGAATGTGCATCTTGTTTGCAAGACACAGAACTGTCACCTAAGAAAGTGAATGCCACCATGGGTTTTGTGGCACCTCTTAGTCATGCACACTGGGAGACCATAGTGGAAACCAGGATAGTTTTCCATGTGTCAAACAACTCTATTTTTATACCGGAGGTCACTACTTGCATTCACCACTCATTTCTACTCATTATTACATAGTAATCAATGCACTTCTCTGCCTACTAATCTCTGCTGCATCTACTCATGTCTCCTGAAGCAGGAGCTTGTTTTTTATGCATGGGTAGTAATGGGAATGATGGATGAAAGGCAAAAACAATGCACTGGCATTTTGTGATCATATACACTGCAATCATGTTGCAATAACTAGACACTCTGGGAGAAGCTGATAGCTGAAGAAGGCTAGTTCTGGAATGGGCAGGAGTTAAATTAAGATCTAACATCTTGCCTTCATCAGGTGACTGCAGTAGATCAACAAAGCTTTCTGACTCTCATTTGTTGTGCAGCGATATACAAACTAAACTTGCTTACTCCTTAAATTAGGCTGTCAGAATCCTTGCTAAATATAGATTTGCACCTGTATGCGCAAGCTATAATGGTGCCCCGTGGAATGCAGGAGTAACCGGACCCATTTCCACACAATCTAACTGTCTTCCCAGCCACCATATTTGTACCTGGCTTTGGCCAGTAGATCTTGGGATATTAAAAAAAAGAAAGAAAGTTGAGCCAACAAGCCCAAAGTTTGCCCATACTTCTGTCGGTGCACATCATATCATTTTTAAAGACATGTTTAACATATTCCTCAGAGAGGGACAAAACAGGGACTGGGAAAAAGGACCACAAAGCAAGGATTTTGGTCAGTAGGGATGGTTGAAGGATAGCCCTGCAAAGAGCTTGTGGATCTTGCAAGGTGGGGCTTCCACCAGAATTGCCATCTCTTTTCTGAACTGAAGCAGTTCTGGAGCAAGCAGGAGGTGGTGGCACCTTCACAATGGGAAGGTGCAAGGAACCTGAGATACAAGGCCCCTGATATGATTTCCCTTGTGCCAGAGCACTTTCTGGAGCCTTCTTAAGTGCATCACGGAAGACCATGATGCACACAAGGTGGGAGCTTCCCTCCAACTTGGCTTTTCCTTTTATCCAATACTTGGTTTGGTTCTCCTGGCCCACTGAGTAACAGTGTGATGCCTACCTAACCATTTCTCAGGTGATTGCAGCATGAGCCAAGCCAAGGATATTTGCAGTGATAATAAAACGTCTTTATTGTCTGCTTATTTCATCAGCTACATTCATTTTGAAAAAATAGCAAAGTGTCTCCAGTCCTGTGTTTTTATATATTAGGAATACTTTCATCAGTAAACATATACAGAATCAAATAATCCTAGCATCAGTGTTTCAGCACATGAAACAAATCGAGGGGCAGAGTTGACTTTTGGAGGTTCTTAATTAAATTGAATCTACAGTCCATTTGTTATATCATTTCATGAAAAGGTGTAGACCAGTAAATAAACAGAATGCATATCTGACTTTAGTTGACTTGGTTAATTACAGCAGTATTCCAAATGACTATTGGGTGGTCTTGAAATAAACAAGGGGCAATAATATAACTTTTAAAAATCTATCCAGTGCTGTGCTTTCCTACTGAGTGAAGCATCTTTCAAAAAGCATTATGCTTATTCCCGAGGAATGAACTTGTCTGTTATACTCAGACATTAACTTGTCTGAAAAGATACGTAATGCATTAAAATATGTCAGTTGGAAAATGTATAAACTGGAGAAGAGGAAAAACATAATTTCATGGCTTTTTCATCTAGTGTAATTAATTGGGGGGTGCCTAGTTGTGAATTTACCACAACTATGCAAAACAAAACCTTTTTGAAATTTAATTCATTTTATGGAAATAATTCTCAGAATTCTCAGGATGCTTGCCAATGTCATGTCTTACAGACTACCTGGAACTTTGCTCTGGGAAAAATTCAGTGGCAACCAGCTGAGAAATATGAATCATATTGAAAAGGTTTTTATCACTCCAAGAAATTCCTAGCCGTTTTGTGCCTTGGAAGGATCTTTCTTGAATGTCATGTTAGGCAAAGTTCAGTGGCAATTTTAATGTCAATGATTTAGAGTTCTACTATATATCCCTCTCTGCACTGAAATTAAAAAGCGGACACTCTGGCCCTTCTGTAACCGTCCAAATAACAAATTTAAAATGGTAGTTTAAATGGAGAATGGCAAATAATCCGCATTCAGTGGTTTTATGTATTCGGCAGTTCAAAGTGCTTCCCTCCAGGACCTTTCAACCTTCTTTGAAATGCAGTTCTCAAAATGAGCTCTATACCATGAGAGATCACAGGATGCGCATGAACTAGCTCACATATGTACAGCTTTAGGTAGGTAGATCACGCTAAAGTAATATTTACAGTGTAAACATCCACTTTTATTATATAAGAAACAAAAATATCACAGATTTCACTTCACAATATATCTGTTTTTGTTTAAATACTGAAATCATTTCTTTGACATACTATGAGAAACTCAAAAAATAGTTTGATCTTGTCCTTAGGAATTTTTTTAAGTTATTTTTTCCTTTTTGCAGGGTTGGGTTCTTTTTCATGGAGTTGTCTTCAGAGGTTCTGGGGAGAGAGAAAAAAGAATACACATTTTAGAGATACTCGTCTGCTAAGCAATGGCAACATCTCTTAAAAATCTGGTTTGAAAGTTATGCAATAGCGCTTCTCTCTCTCAAACACACACACACACACACACACACACACACACACACACACACACAGAGGTTTTCAGTGCAAACCTATAAAGACCAAACTCTGTTGCTGCCCCTGAGATCCAATGCAATGCCTTGTGTCTTGCAGTGGGCTTGGCTCTACCTTCCAAGGCACACTTTCTCCCTACCAGATTGAATCATACAATAGATCACTTCCACTGCTCCGGGGCCCAGCCATTATTCCACACAAGAGGGCCAGAGGCACCTTGTAAGTGTCCTGCTGGCTCATTTCTTTGCCGCATTGGCATGGATGAATGACATGCTGCACCTCTGATTGTTTCTGTTGCATTCAGTTTAGGTGTACAGCCAGAGGTGCTCCTGCACTGGAGATGAGGTTCTTTCTTCCAGTCCTATGGACCTCACATCTATACAAGGGGCAAATCATTCAGCAGCTTACCTAAAATACAACCTACCTAAAGCCTACCTAAAATACGGCCATGGTGAATGAAATCATGGCTAATTCCACTGAACTGCTCAAGCATGAGCAACAATAATTTACTAACTTAAGTTTTATTTTTGTTGATTGTTTATATGTTATCTTCTGTATTTTAACTCTATTATTTTATTTATATTACCTATTGGTAATTTTATTGTACTGGCCACCCATTGAGTGTGATGCTAATGGGCAACCTTTAAACAAATTTAATAATAAATAATAAAATAACAACAATAATAATAAACAGTAGCAATTCATCTCAATGGTAAGAGAAGACATGATCCATAAGATCCATAATAGCAAACTTAGGTTGTTGTCTGTGAAAAGGTTTAGAACTAAAGTGAAGTTTTTTTGTTTGTTTTTTAAGGTATCAGAATGAAACTTGCGCCAAAATGGGAAACATTTGAAAACCCTAAAGAGGCCAAAAACATATGTAGTCTAATGATAATTGTGTGTGTGTGTGTGTGTGTGTGTGTGTGCAGGATTGGACCTTCCTCTCTCAAAATACAGCATTCCAGACTGGAAAGCTCAGACTCTGAAGGTGAGCTGGACAAAGAGGAATGCATTACTGAACTGTCAAGGTTAACCAAACAGCTAGTAACTCTGATTCAGGGGAAATACTGAAGAACAAGCAGAATCAGAGGGTTGTGAATTCATTATTATCAAGCCAAACAAGCAGACCAATTAAGTAATGTGCAGCGATCCTGCCATCTGGGCCAGGAACAGCAAAACCTCCCTGAGGGGAGAGCCATTCCCTTTTGGAGGAAAAAAAAGGAGGAGGATTCAATATGGAATCAGTTCCTGACATGAGCAAGAATTAATTCCACCAAGTGGAAGAATCACTACATTGATATATGCTAGGTGTTGACCATATTATTATTACTCACTCTGTGCTACAAAGCCAGCCTGGCTCAATAAAGGACTCTTTTTCAGAGGCCTTTTGCCTGGATCTTCTGGAAAGGGAAAAGGGGAGAGACATGCCTAAAGAAGTACAGTGGCACCAGGAGTCTCAGTGGGAAAAGAAAAATGGAAAAATTCTGAGAAGGATATCAAGTATCTATGAGAAAGGTATGACTGGTTGACCCCCACTCAGAATATTGTCAGCAGTTGGTCATACCAATATAATCCCTAAATTTTGAATTAGGAGACACCCGTAATTCAAGTGAATTCACTTATGAGTGCCTTTCCTAAACCTGGCAAGGCCATTTCCCACCAGTTACAACTCCTTTAGAAAAACTTAGTTTTCTTAAATTCAGATTTTGGTGAGAAAATAAATAAATTAATTTTTTTAAGCATCCTATACTGGGCTCTAATTTACTGAATGTACTCAGTTTCTCTACCCTGTCCACTGATAAGAGCCTCATGACCATCTCACCATGCTCCTTTTCATGGTGCTTCACGAAGTGACCCACAATTTGAGAGTCAGAGATCCGAACTTAAACTTCAGGCAAGTAGCTTTTTCTGCATGCCAGGGTCAGCTTTCACCATGTTCAGGACCAGCCTTGATTTCAATTAATTGGAAGGAAAAAGGGTGCCCAGGTAGACTTTTTTAATTAAGAGAGAATGCCAGTGCAATTATCCTTATAGGCACCCTATTCACCCTAATTAAGGAGGAGTCAAGTTGGGTTTCATGCCTTAGTACACACAATCTAAGGAAAGCCCAAGTGACCTGACTGAATTAGCAATACTAAATCACTAATTTTCATTAGGAATCCTTCTCAAAAATCATGCTCATTTAATACATGCAATTAACTTCTCGAGAGATTATTCCCATAGAAATGCCATATGGGAGTCATCTCATTAAGAGCTGTTTACTGGAAAATCCACATTGCATGTATAAACGGTGCACATCCTAACAATAAGGAGACTCCGATGGTTGAGAAGAAGTTCTAACTTACCACTGGGAGGTGGTTCAGAAGCTCAAGGTCATCTACGGTGACATCGTCGTAGTTTTCCGAGAATGTGGGGTCAAGCAATTCTGCTTCATCCCGAAGGCTGGAGGGGTTTAACTCTTCCTGACTGTTGGAGTGCACAAACAAAATGCAGATGAGCTCCAGGCAGAAGTAAATCCATCTTAGCAACTTTCTTTTTTCATTGCAGGATGCTTTATTAGCCTTTGTTCAAATGACAGAACCTGTCTAGCATTATTATATAAAACAATGCGTAGCACTTTCATAGAAATCCATTTTCTTCAAGGCCTTACGCTGAATGTTTTGTTTCATAACCATAGAATTCATGCTCAAGAGCAAGTGGGTTAGTTCTCATATTCTTTATTGAAACATACTCTGCATAGAAAGGAAGTAAAATTATGCTGGTTCATGATCCCATTTCTTTTTTGTACACAATCCCTGTTCTTTTAAGCTATTTTTATTATAAAAGGCCCTCGAAAGCCACTGTGAGTACTTTTCTATACATTAAAAGAAAGATTGTGTTAATAGCTCATTACTGCTCAAACCTTTTAAAGCGCATGCCTTTAGCCCATTTTTTCCTTCTTACCTCCTTTTCCTAGATAAAACAGAGTTCAAATACTTCTTCATAGCCATCTGCTTTCGAAAGCGGCTGTAGTTGTCAGTGAAGACAGCATCTGAGTGGCGCTTGACTGGCATCTGTTCATCGAGGGGGCTGTTATTTCTTGGACAGATACAAGATTTGCAGTTAGCACCTTAGGACAGCAATCACTCAAAGTGCAAGCATTTCAGCATCTACAGTTTCCCAAAGCTAATGAGCTGGAGCCAAGTTTATTCTAACATTTCTTTAAGGTATAAACCGCGACCTCATGTCTTGACCTAACTCTGCACTTTGTGATTCAATGTTTCTTAGGCTGACTGTGGCTCAGGGACAGAGCCCTTGCTTTGCATGCAAAAGGTCTCAGCTTAAATTCCCAGCATCTCCAGGCAGGGACTGGGAAAGGTTCTCATTAGAAACCCCAGAGAATGCTGCCAGGCCATGCAAACCTTACTGAACTAGATGTATCAAGGGTCTGCCTCTGTGTAAGGCAGCTTCTTACATTCAAGGAAAGGTTCATGAACAAGCAAGCCTCCTCTGATATGAATTCAAATCTGGAGCAAATAAATATTTGCCTGGTTGGTGTGGTGGTTACTGTGCTGGACTGGGGACCTGGAAGATCTGGGTTTGAATCCCCACTCAGCCATGAAGCTCACTGGGTGAGTTTGAGCCAGCCACTCGCTCTAGCCTAACCTACCTCTCAGGGTGCTTGTGAAGATAAATGGTTCCTCACCATGCTACCTGAGGTTCTTCACAAGTGGAAAAGACAGGATATAAATGCAATATAATAATAGCAATCATACTGCTAATGAAGAAGTGCTTCAGAGTTCTCTCTGTGTGCTAATTTTCTAATAGGCATGAGAGCCGTGTCTCAAATCAGTAGATGCCATCCAAGGAACTTCAGCATATTCTAAAGTTCCAGTTAAACCTATGTGAGTTAAACATGCATATCTCACTGATTTAACCCAAAACAAGTATTCCTTGATACATATAAGAAAAGTGCAGTATAAAAGATAAAATTCTCCTCCAACCCCCACAAATCCACAGGTCCATTGATGCTCTGTCGAGATACTGCTAACATTAGCAACCTCTGGTAGCATGCCAGTGACTTACAAAGATCTGATATCAATCACTTTTTATACTTTGAAAGTTTGTGGTTGGTGTTTTGCCTGCTCCTACATGTTTCTTTTGGATTTCTTGCTCATTTAACAATAAGAATAAAATATAACTGTTTAGAATACTGAGTAAATTGCAATGCAGATTTCTAAGTATACAGCTGCACTCCAAGGAGAATATCCTTCATCCACAACAACCTCTTAACTTAAGAAAATGTAGAGCAATTATATAAATATACTGGATCATATTCTATACCTTTAAATGGGAGTCCCTGAGTACGAGGGAGGCAAAATCTTCTACTTGGGGAAATGCAAGATGCAGCCACTTACCCAACCCTCTTTCCCATAAGTGATTCCAGATATTTTCTTGCAGAGAGTTGACCCAAAAGTTTGCTGTAGCCACTTGTGAAGAGTCCATCAGCATGTCTTGCATTTCTGCAGTGGAAAGTTTTCCATTAAAAAGTATGCAACATGAATTCTTTTGATTTAATTTAGTGTGATGTTCACAGCTAATGTGGCTGTCAGCACCCGACCACCCCAGCTACAAATGGAGCATAAACTTTCTCACTGTTGCATCATTACAGATGTCACACAAACTGAGCTTGCAGACCCCAAAGAAGGGCTAGATCAGAGATCTTCAATGAGCTTACAAGCCTTGACTGAACTTTCCTCAAAACGACAGATTGTGTATTTGTAGTAGGAGTGATTATGAGCTTTTAGAATAGTCTTACCTGTCTAGAGTTCTGGACATGTCAAAATAGAATTTGTCATTTTCGGGTAATGTTGTTTGCAAAATGTCAGCCTCAGGTTTTAACGAAGCTTGAACATGGTCAGGTTCATTTGCCCCGTCGAATGGCAATCGGTTTCCTAATCTGATTAGGAGGAGAAATAAGACCATGTAGGAAGGTGCTAAATAATTCTGACAGTTAATTAATTCTGACTGTTTTGGCAAAACCAAAACAGATCATTTTGACAGTGCTTATAAAGATACATTCTAAGAAAAGATACTTTATTAAGGTGATTAGCAATGACAATAACAACATTTTAATATAATGTGACCACTTCATGTGTCTAGTGAATCTCTACTATTTAAATTGCTTTATTACAGACTTTGTAAAAGAATGTTTATTCATGCAGAAGGAAACTACAGCAAGCTAAGAAGGTAAAACAGAGCAGCACCCAGCCAATGGGAGAAGCCCATTGCGAGCATGATTTCAAATGAATAGGACTTTCAAATGGTTAACTTGATTGAATCTTTTCAAAAGTAACTGACCTAATAAAGCTTCTGTGTGGTGAAAAGAGTTCTGGCATGTAATTCATATCAGCCAATTCATTGTGTTTCCTGCTATTTTTACTCACTACATATTTAGAAATTTCAGACATGATGACAGTAAAAATACTAGAATAAATTGCAGAAAGCCTAAGTCATAATCCTTCCATCTATGTAAGTTTTGGCAGTGTGTGTGTCAAAACTCTGCTGGTCTAAATGATCTTGATGAGACGTCAGCCTCAAGTCATCAGGTAATATATCTTTAATCTGTATTCAACACCCCACCCACAACCCTTCAAGGGATTTCCTTATGTAAATGAGCATTTCCTTGTTTGAATACCCACAAGGTACATAGAGTCATTTCATTCCATTCTGATGGCACTTCTTCACACTGATATTCTGGCAACTTCCTAAACTACTAGCATGACTCTTCTGCTCTTAGTCAGCAGTTCATTCAGATAGCACAGGTATTTCAGTTTCAAATTTTCCTGCTAAATTTTGAGAAAATTCAAGTATCCCCAAAGTGTGCTACAAGATTTGGCTTACCAGAGCCAATTGTTAATTTTTAGGCAATTGAACATTATGTTAATCTGAAATAACACTTTTTTGAAACAATAAATGCCTTTTACAACAGATAGGATGGGGATAGCTAACATATGTTCACCTGTGAAAGAGGGGCACAGTTCTCCTAGAGGCTACATATTTGGGTAGCAGTTATACAAGCACCAGCAATTGGACTAGCTCAACTAATACAAGCAATGCCTAGCACTAGCAATCTATAACAGGTTCTGTGCAAGCAGATCAAAGTACTGAACTGGCACAAGAATTAAGAAAAAAGCAAGTAGTGAAAGCTTTGTGCTAGTGGAATCCATTGAAACAAAGGATTTTAAACATGCTAAAACTGAAACTCACTGGACCATCTGGCCTAAATGAGCAGCTCAATCCAATACATGGTCCTGAATTAAGAATAAGCTAAAACAAGAAGATGATTGGTAGAAATGTTACTAAATGTTGATGTAAAGCAGGCAACCATCTCTCCAGTTAAATACTCTCTCTCAGCTTTTAGGAGGGTTCAGATGTGGCACAGGTAGGGCAAAGGGCAGGGAGAATTGTAGCTTAGAACTAGAGATGGTGATTTCTGACTCTATGGATTTTACAGGCCTTTAGTACGTCATGTAACAGGAAAAGTGGGCATAGTGCCTCCATGCTTCTGCCCAGCCCTAGAGAATTCAGCTCTCTCCAGCTTTCTACACCCCACTGTTTATTCCTCTTGGTCTCATGTTAGATTTCCAGCATTGCTTTCCTTCCCATCTGCTCACCCGGCTGATGGGGCTACCCCAGTGGTAGTAATAAGAAGGAGAAGGGGACAGAAGAGCGATTTATTCCAACACTTGCATGCCTAACGCACTACTACTGAGTGATGAAGGCACAAGTAAACCGTGGAAATCTAGTTTTCTGAAGGGCTGCAGCAGGGGCCAGTTCCCCTTGGGAAAATTAGGCTTCCTGGGTGGATTTCTATTTGGTGTGAAGTTTAGCAGTCAGTGACAGAGAAGAATGGGGCAGAGAGGCCCCCTTCCTCTCTCCCTCCCTCCTGCTCATTGCTAGACAAGCAGGAACGCAAGCAGGATGGCGGGCAGGATGGATTGGAGGGGGGTGTTGGGTGGGTGAGATAGGGTCTGGAGGCATGGTAGATTAGCAAGGGAGTGGAGATGACTCATAGACACAATTTGATTTCCCCCCACAAATATGTAAGGGCTTGAGTAAAATCCATAACCCTCTTAGGATTCTACCAGAAACCTAAGAAAACCAGCAATGTTTAGAACAGAGGCATGGAGTACATTATCTTTAAGCACCTTCTAGCTCTTCAGTTCCATGTGTTTATATAATTCTATATATCCATTTCTATTAAAATGTCATGTTAAATTGCCATGCTATATTAAGGTTATCGTCTATGAGAATGTCGATTTCAAGCCTAGAATCAAGGCAACAGTTGTCTGCCTGTTCTTATTAGAGGCAGACTGTCGAAGCATCTGGATTTGAAATGCAGGCACAGAATGCCTGCAACTGGGACCCATCTGAGTTTTCTTGCTTTGTTTTCCTAGGAGGGGTTATATTAATAGTATATACCGAGTGTTCATTCCCTGCCCCAACAGCACAGAAGACATCTAAATGAAAGTCTGTTTTCTCCTTCACGTATGGCGTGTGCAGTCCTGTGGTCCCTGTGGCACAGGGTGCTGGGCTTCTCCCTCCCTGCCAGCCCATGGCCAGTAAGGGACTCCTCCCCGAAGAGATGGAGTGGTGGTGCTTGAGGGGCTTTCTATTGCCATGGGATTCCCATCCAGTGATGGGTGAGCTCAAAGGAGGTGCACTTGGGGTGCACTGGGGGAAATTTGGGAGAGATTTTGATCCACTGGATCCAAATCACCCATCTTTTTCTGATACACTCCTAAATTAAGAAGGAAAGTACACCATCCCTGGAGTTGGCATAATAAATTCCCCATCTACTGAAAGTAATGGGAGGGAATATTAAAAAAAAACATAAATAAGAGGAGAGGAGAGCAAAAAGTAGTCCCTCCACCCAGGCCAGCATAACATCCCAGGAGGATCAGGGAGAAAAGGATGTTTGGAACAGGAGTAAGAATGCTATTCTCAAATTCCCTCTGCCTTTTTCAAGGGCTACAACCTGGCCTCTCAACATTCTGCCAAATTATTAACACAAAATAGATTTCCATAAGTTCATATCCAACACTCAGAAAAAGTTTTAAATATATTGCAGGCAGTCAAGAATATTTATTTGATTGCTTGGTGTGTTTCACCAGCATGTCAGCTAAATCTTTGAGCAGGATTCCACTCTGTCGGTCCTAATGATGATCTAATGATGAACACAAGAAGAACTGGAATCTCTTTGTAATGATCAGATTGTTTCTGATAGGCCCGTATATCATCTTCCCTGGGAAATGGCTCAACAAGAACCTCTTTCATGTTGTCCTGCCACTTCTGTGCCTGTTAACAAGCTATTAAAGCATAATTGCTCCTCTGAAGCTGGAATTTACTTGGCCAGCATTCACTGCTAATAGCTAGACTAGGCTGGCCCCAGATTGTATTCACTGCTCACACACCCAGCTAGCTCCTGCTGACTGCTGTAATGAGGCATGAGCGACGAGGAGTGGAAAATGAGCCAACACACCAATATCAGATGGTTTGCACAGATCACCCATTTGTTCCTGGGCTTGGTTTGAGTTCAGATGTTAGGTTTAAGCCTGCAAGCACCAAATGGCCTAGCCTGTCCTGTTCTGAAATTGCACCATTACCAAGATCTGCACGAGAGGCCCTTTGGAGAACACTGTCCCTTGCAGAAGTTCATTTGGTGGGCATGCATGGGAGCATCCTCTCCTGTATCTCCCCCAAACTCTGGGATGCACTCCTCTCCAAACTATGAGCTGTCCTCACTCTCCCCTTTCAGAAAAGGCATGGAGACAACTCTTTAACTGGTTTCTTATTTGCATTTGCTCAGTATTTGTATCTAGATTGATTGTTTAGTTGCTGTTTAAATGAATAGTTTTGATACGAAATCTGAAAGCCAACAAGTGCTATTTTAAGAATATGCAAATTTTAGCCAAAGGTGTCTCTTTTCTCTCTGGGTTAGATTGCTCTGAAATAAATTTAACCTAAAGTTTGTCTGCCTGTATCTGTGTTGTGTTTTTGCCTGCATTGATCATTCATGTAAGGACAGACTCCAAAGAACTTGGAATTTGGATATTCTGAGGACCGTGGACCTAGAACAACCGGACATATGACAATAATTTCAATGTGGTTTTCACTGGGGACATGCTGACATAAGAATATAATAGAGATACTGCAGACATTGCCAAATGATCAGGAAAGTGATCTTACTTTCAGGCTTAAATTAAATGCTGCAAGACTCCCATTATAGCAGATCTGCATACAAGGAAACCCTCCTGATTTTCAAGGGCACTGAACACAATCATTTTTCTTCAAAACCAATGGGTCTTATTCTTTCTTCTGTACTGAACAAGCCAGCTCTCTCTAGCTTACTCCACACAGGCAGTCTACGAGCCAGCAACAACAGAATACAGGTATGTATGAAATAGTTAAGCCACAACACGGCTGCAATCCTCTATCTATTTACCTAGGAGCAAGCCCCACTGTAATCCAAGAAAGTTATTTCTGAGTAGATGTGTATTGGATTGTGTTACAAAGGAGTTACTAAAAAGCTAATCCTCCTTGCTAACACACACTCCCTTCCTGGTCTGGCCCAGCAAGCAAGTTTGCAATAGATTTAAGCATCCATACATTTCCAGTTAGGCTTTTCTTCACTTCATCTTGGGAAATTTGTCAGATTTGCAAGCCATGCCATTTGCTGCCAGGGCAGGTTTAACCGCAAGCAGCCTCACCTCATAGTTGAGTATGTTCCCAGAGAAGGTAAAGCAACAGTGTGAGAGCAGAGTAGGCAGAGGAGTGCAAAAGAGAGGAGAAGCTGGGAGCCACTTCTGTCTTCCATCGCTTGGGACCTGGGTGGGCAAAAATGATACAATTATTAATCTCTTGCTGCCAGTGCCCATGTCTTGCACAAGCAAAGGCACGATCTATGAAAGTTTTCTCTGAAAAGCAGAGGACTGTATCACATTTAAGTCCTCCTTAGAATAGAACCATTGAAATGAATGGCTTTAATGTAAATTAACATTGAATACAACACATGAGATACAACCTAGGAAGTCTGTTTTATGTGGAAAGGGACATATTGCAGATATAGGGTACATAACAAAACACAAAATGGTAGCATTGATTGGATGTACTCATTTGTATGCCTGAAGTCAAAAGACCAATTGGCTTTTGGAGGCAAGAAAGTTACTTAGCATAGATACATGAGATAGGAACTATAATGCATTTCAACATTGAAAAGGTTCTCATGAGGGTTACTGGTACTAAGATGAAAATGCGTTACAGTCTTACTGTTGTCCTGTTTCATTGTTATCATCTTTTCCCCCTACTTCGCAATAGCTTATTTTTCTTGTGAAGTATGGAGTGACAGAGTACTTGACTTTAAAAGGAGCAGCAAATTGAGATTGAACTGAGAAGGAGCAGCAGGAGAGAAAGACAGCGAGCAATAGGTTCATAGACTGATGGACAAACAATTTCTCCAATTATATAGAATTAAAATGTTGGTACATTAACTTAAGTCATGTTGCTTTGCAAAATGATTTAGTCCTGCTGCTAAAATAGCACTGCATAGCCTCTGCGATTTTGTCTGAAAAAGTAAAAAAATGTAGGCTTCATTTACTGATTTTGCTTGTGAAATATGATCATAAATAGAGGCTGTTTGTGACCAAATGCAGCAGTTGCTTTAAGGCATAGTTAGACTCAGTGGGAATTAGCCCACATTTTATGCATTAAGGGTTTCAGAACTAAAGACAAGGTATTAATGAGCCGGAAAGAGTTTTCACATGGCTGCAAATTACCACTAATTCGTCCTCATGCAAAACATCTATTCACATTAGCAGTCCTATACAAAAGCACAAGATTTTTAAAGCATCATTTTTAATCTGATCTGAAGAAAAATGCAAATATGAACAATCATGGAATAACATTGCAATTTAAGTAGACAATATACACTATATGTGACATAATTCACACACATGTTCAGAAATGTGAACACAGAGAGGGTTGGGAAAGATATGTGCTATTCAGTAATCACCCTCTAAAAATTGTAAACAAATTATGAGAACAATATAAAAAAATGCTTTGAAGAGCTGGGACAGCAAATGACAGCAAAAAGAATGACAGAATGACATTAGAATGACAGCAAAAATACAGGTGAAGGCAATATTCAGGAGAGTGTCTGAAATACTGATCAGGAGCAAGAGGGTGGAAGTTATGTTTTTCCTGAGCCCAAAGGACACTTCAACTATCTGAAAGATAAATTCTGAAAAGGGAATCCAAGAAAGAGATCCTTCCACCAGGTCCCTTTTCAACCTGCGGAAATTAACTTTTTACATCTCACTTTGGAAACTCTATTTTTGCTACAGATAGAAATTCAGGTTGGTTCCTCCCCCGCTTAAAATAGGTCAGGAAGACATTTCTTGCAACTGAAAGGAAGACAAACTTTTACTTACTGTGCAGGAAGAGGGGCTCTTGGTCTCCTCAGGAACAGGACGACGGTGCCTGAAGCGCAAGCAACGCGGGAGCTCTCCCAGGTGCTGAACTGTTCTGCCGCCACTTGTTTGGCAGCTCCACAAGTTGCCTCTTCAGGTACTGAACCTCCACGTGCAAAGCAAAGTATCTGCTCTGCTCCCTCTCAGTGCTGGTCTGAAGTTTATCAGCTCTCCTTCCTAGGCTACTGCCTACCCTTCCCTTCAGTGCACTCTCCGAAGTCTTTCAAGCTGCCTCATTTTATAGGGTTTGCATACAGAGGGCCACTCTCGAAACCAGCAATCACGTTATGCTGGAGACGTCACATTCCCAAGGGGATGGATGGAAATATCTGTGACGGGTTTTGTTCAGGATGTTGTGAGACAAAGGAAGTTCATATTTAATTGATGGAAAGCCCCCTCCCCCCTGCTTAAATTGATTTATGGCTATATTGATGAATGACTGAGCTTGAGTAACATTTAACTGGGTAAAGAATCCAGTTTTTACAATTCATGCCTGAATCCTGACTTCCAAAACATGGAATTCAACTTGAAAAACAAAACCCTGAAGCCTCTGTTGAAAATTGTTAACAGTAGGTCTCTTCTAATCTAAGGGCAATGGTTAGAAAACCAGTACACTCTGATACATATGTGGAAATATCAGTGAGAAATCTCAGAAGATCATTGTGGATTTTATCACAATCCAAGTAATCTTTTATTGTGATTGCAGGACAATGTGGAAATAGATTGTACAGCACTTTAAAGTTATGTGGGAAAGAAAGCTAAAGGTTCTATTCAGTACAATTCTCCACTTTTCTCTTCTGGAGGAGATACTATTGAACATGTTTCCTTTCCATTTTTATATTCATCAACACCCAGTTCTTCAGAATAGCCAAATAAGGCTGCTGCCCCTGTCTTTCTTCCCAAAGTCGCATGTAAGTTCCTTAACACATTCATGCCACAATGCTAGTATTTTTACTTGCCTGGGAGTAAACTCTGGGGCAAACAACTGGTAAACAAGCATGGGATTCTTCTGTCAATACTCTCGTGATTACTTTTAGCTTAATTCTTTGAAAGCCAAAAATAAGCAAATAAATAAATCTGAGATCATGCAAGTATAATCAGCCTGAGATTTGAAACTCAAATTCAAATATACCTCCCTTGCTTTGTCACATATTTCTCGTATCTGGATTCTCTGGATGCACATTCATGATCTATGGAAATATTTGCCATCTTGTAATCTCTCATTTTCTCCATGTTTGTCCACTTCAGCAATCCCAGCCAGTCAAGCATCAGTCAAGACTTACACCCATAGACTAAACCAAACAGTGGCTGGCATTTGACCCCTTGGTATGCTTACACGTATGATGCACTGGAATTAGCTGGTAATACATAATTTAATGTAAAGGGAAAGACACATACAGCGCTAGGCTATTTCTGGCTATAAAATGCCAGAAACCCAATAAAAATAGGTGTTCATTCTGTTACAGTAAAATCTCTCCAAACTGGATTAATCTGAGCAAAAGACCACCAGAACGAAGTCCCAGATTCTTCCTGGTGTTTCAGAATGCTGATTTGAGAGCAAGTGCGGCGTAGTGGTTAAGAGCCTGGGACTGGGACTCAGACAATCTGGGTTCTAGTCCCCGCTCAGCCATCGAGCCAAATGGATGACTTTGGGCCAGTCACAGACTCTCAGCCCAACCTACCTCACAGGGTTGTTGTTGTGGGGATAAGATGGAGGAGGAGGAGATGTAAGCTGCCTTGAGCCCTTTGTAGGAAAAAGGCAGGATATAAATCCAAAAATAAATAAATACATAAATCTGAAATGTAGCTGCAATTGCCATGCACACTATAGTTTATCCAGGTCAATGTTTCAGCATCTTTGCAATTCTGTATCATTACAGAGAACAGAATCTATGTGGCCTGTAGAAACCTGGAGGATTTTAACAGTTCTTACAGCTAAGTATATCTCATTCAGGAGGGTCACCATTAGAGCAATAGGAGAAAACCATCCTCTCAGATCTGTCTGTGATAGCAATTTTCAGGATCATTACCAGAAAATAAGCACGCCTTCAGATGCCACCAATTTGTTATCATGACTGTCATGGAAATAGGTGTATTTTTCTCTGCCTGCAAGCTAGCCAGAAATCATGTCTAAACATGCGCACAGTGTCTTCTCCTTACCACTGTCAAAGTCAACAAAAGTGCACTTAGAGATCATGGCTCCTTGTCACAGAGAATGGCATTCAGGGAGAAGACCGTCCCAGAGCTGGTCTAATGGATAACAGCTCCCTGATAGGCGTGTGGCTGCTTTGACATACTAGAGGCAACCCTGTGCATGTTTAGGCAGAAATACATTCCTACAGTTCCCAGCATTCCCCATTCAGCATGTCTGGCTGTGGAATGCTGGCTGAGGGAACATGTTTTTCTCTTGAACATGCATAGGAATGTGCCCTAAGGAAGTTTCAACACAAGAAGATCTTCTGCCAGTTGAGAGCCCACATGCATGGATTTTCACAAGAAGAACACAAGGGCCAAACCTGCTGCCCACTTTCAGGCAACAAGCTCCCAATTACTTCCCAATCCAGAAACCACAGGAAGGAATGGGATGGGGAAAGTGGCTGCTCCTTACTTTGGGAGGCTTCATAACACACGTTCATTTCCATGCTTCCAGCTCAGGCATCTAACTCAGGAGCCTGCGATGTCCAGAAGATCAGAATGAATCACCCACCAAGCCATTTCCCCCACTGGAGTTACTTCATTTCTACAGGGAGGGGAGAAAGCCTTCCTTCCAAAAATGGCCAAGGGGGCAGAATGCACCAGATACCTTGGCTGGGGAGTGGAATCTTTGCCCCACGCTCCAGCCAGTTTTTAACAGGGAGGTTGAAAGAGCAATTTGTTTTTGTTTTTTGTTTTTATTTAATGAGGGGGGATAAACCACCTGCTCAAAATGGTTGCGGGGCTAAGGCTTGGGATAATCCTGTCCTTGGAATAAAGTTAACCCTCATTCTCCTCTAGCTAATTTTCAGGAGGAGAAAATGCTCCTTCAGTGTGTGAGGCTGTGGAAGAGGGGAAAATGAGGGAAAGATCAGAGACACACAGAAAGGGAGGGAGGAAAGGGGAAAGAAAGAGGAAAAGGGAGAAATAGGAGTGGGGACAGGCAGGCCAAGGAGAGGAGCAGAGAAAGAGAAAGTGAAACTAGAAAGAAGGAAAGTGATCCAAAGGCATTGGAGGGAGGGAGGAAAAAAGGAAGGAAGAGAAGAAGGGGAGGGGAAGGAGAAAAGAGGAGCCAGAAAGTGAGATAAATCAGAGATAACAGTACTTACATAGGATGCACATGCATGGATACACATCCTAAAAGAACTGCACTGATGGCCTATTCACTTCCAGGCTCAATGCAGGTTGCTGGCATTTACCTTTACGGTCCTAAATCAGGGGCGGACAACCTTCATTCTCATGGGTAATTTCTGGGATGCTGCATGTCTGTGCTAAATGGAACCAGGGCTAGTGGAGAGTAGGTTACCCCTTTGCTCTTTCTCCCACCCCTTTTAGCTCTCTTACTTTTCCTTCTCGGGTGGAGGGCTGCTCAGAGACAGGTTGCTGCTAGCAGAGTTCTGAATTGTTTGCATCCAGAGGGTTTTTGAAATTAGGCTTCAGGTGTCCCACCCCTGGTCTAAATGGCTCAGCACACAAGCTTATGAAGAAATGCCTCTTCTTAATGGTGGGTTTAGTTTGTCAACAGTAGTATTTCAGGGGTAGCAAGCAGTGCGCTTGGGTTTGTGGGCTTTCAGATGCAGGCTTGCCTGTCATTTTTAGTGTGTGGAGAACTTGTGTGTTGTATTTTGTAGATTTGCTGCCTCTTGTTATGACAGGGATGATACTCTTTCTGGTATAGTTCTTCTACAAGGAACATAGCTAGTCTGTACAGCATAATTGGAAGAACTTTCTCCACCCAGACATTTTTCCTGAAATGTATATTTCATATGCAAGATCCATCAGCAAGTTAAGATACTTATGAAAGCATTGTGGGAACATCAGTGCGCAAAGGCATCATCCAAAGCCAAAGTTAAACACATCTAAGTCCCATTCAATACAATGAAATAAAGTTTACCATTAATGGGAAAAAATGGTTTATGCTGATTCTTTTCAACCAAAAGTTAAACTTTTGTGGCTGTTTCGCCAGAAATGTAAAAATCTAAGATTATATGCTAAGGAGACTTTTTTTAAAAAGAAAGACCATTTCAATTAGGTGGACTTACTCAAAAGTAAATCAGTTTAGGCTCACAGTCCCAGTGCCCAATAAATGTGGAAGATCTCATCATTTCCTCTTCCTTCTAATGAACTTTTCATCTTTCCATTTTTTCTGTCTGAAAGTTTAAATGGTGAAGATTCAGTGATCCTTAATTACATTTTCTAATCCAGTTACATAAAAATTAAACAAATTGAGCCAAAAAGAAATTTGTCTGGAAAATTGTTTCCCAGATGACAGGCATGACTTAAACCAGAGTTCCTGCAAAGGACTAATTTGAGGAAGTTTGTGTTCCTTGATTCCTCAGAACTGGCTGGGAAACTAGTAGTTGTGCTCTGAAAGGACAGGATGGGCAATAGCCTCTTGCAGCCCCCCACTTTGTCCTAAGTACCCTTGTCTGATTCGCAGATGAGGAAATGGAAAGAAAGGCCAGAAATCATGGATCAATATAAAAGGAAATCCATTGGGAAGTCCTCCTGCCTGTTGTTGTCATTTTTATTTATTTCTGCACTGCCCAATATCCAAAGCTCTCTGGTGGTTCACAGTATGCAGGAACACAGACCACAAATACCTTGAAATTCCCAAAATGCAAATAAATATCAGGACTGTGAGTAGACTGTCATAATGTGGTCCTGAAAAGATGACAGCCAGGTGGGCCTCAGTGGAAAGAGACCACCACTGTAACTGCAGGACTACCACTGAGAAGGCCCTTTGCAGTGTGGCCACCTTCCAAGCTGCCCTCCAAGGAAGGCTCGGATGTTGAACATGGTGCCTGGGTACATTCATGTTGGGAAAGGCATGCCAAACCGAATGGGGCCAGTACTGCTGTCCCACAACTTCCACAAGAATATGAAAAATGGGCTGCTGGCTCAGACTCTCAGACTAGCCGGATTGCCATAGCGGCTGGTTGGAAGACACCAGGAAACCTGCAAGCAGGTCAGGAAGGCAGTCGGGCTCTTGGTGAACAGAGCCTTCCTTCGAAGAGAAAAGCGCTTCCCTTTTCCCTGGTACTATTGTGCCTTTGACCATCGCTTATTGCCTGCTCCTGCCTGAACTTCTCTCTTGCTAGACTGATACCAGAATGATGAATCACTTGCCTGAGTATTGATTTGCTATTGGATTTGCCGCTCAGTTTCTGTGAAACTGACCCAGCCGCAGCAAGGAAGTTTAAGCTTTTAGAATAAATATGAGACTAAAATGCTTGACACAAAAACGTGCTTGACACAGACAAAAGAGGGGGCGAGGGGGCAAAGGGCAACAGAACTGTTATAAAGGAGTGTAGAATTTGCGACTCCAGATGTTGTTGGGGTGCATCTTCCATCCTGGGACTGATTGGAGCTGGAGGCACTCAGGTTCCCCACCCTTGCTTAAGAGATAACATGGTCATAGTTTAAAGCAGAATAACTGGAGATTATGTCCAGCAATCTGTGTTTTAGAAATACATTTATAAGCAATATATTTAAATGTTCTGGCTTCATTTTCCACAACATAGCATAGACCTTAAGTAGTTCGCTGTTAACATCTTTATTCTGACGGAAGTCACAAAAGCAATTCTATACCCGAAACCAAGCATAATGCATTGAGTTCTATGACTAGAGATCAGCATGGCCCAAAGTGGCCTGAGAGCACCACCTAGCTGCTAAATGACTCTGTTTCCTAATAGTATCTTAGCTTCATAGAATGCATATCCTATTTTGGAGGTAGGGTTGATGCCTGTTACATTTTTAACCTCCTCAGTGTAGAAGAATCTGGATTCTTTTTCAGGGGTTAAGGGAAAAAATGGTCAGTTTCAGATCTCTGCCTATTTATTTAAAGTGTTATGGATCTTTCAAGGCATTTAAAATCTGTCTTGAGGTAGTTCACAGATAAAAACATAAAACAGTAATTAAAACAGAAGCATAAAAACATTTCATTTAAATGCATAGTTTTTTTAAAAGAATTAGTAATGGCCATAGGTAAAAGACTATAGCTGGAATTAGGCTGCCAGATTCATTCATTTAAAGCAGATTGGAACGTGCAAGAGTCACATAAGAACAATCAGAGAGAAAGCCAAATGGGCTCCCTTTGGAAGTGAGTTCCTCAAGGAGAAGGTAACACCTGAAAAGGCTCCATCTTTGATGTCCAGCTACCCAATGGACCCCATAGGTGTGTCCTTGAGCAGGACCTTGGCATTCTTCTTAAGGCCCAGGCATATCCATGCCAAAATAAGTAGCCCTTCACATTCTTATGGGTGGTGCCAACTACTGTTTTCCCCTGTCATCTATCAGTGCTATGGAATCCGACCTCCCTGCAGCCCTCACACCACCCCAAACAAACCACGATTAACCCCCCCCCCAAGTCTTCTGCAAGATCCTGTGTAGAGAGTTACCTTGAGATTGTTAGCATCTACCTTCCTAGAATCTGCAGTTACCTTCCTCGCACCTGTGGTGCTTTGTATTCCGTGTACACCAATACAAAACATACTTTCATAATTTTGGTTTACAAATCCAGTTCAAACCATGGTTTATAATAGAAAATAGACTAGAGATAGAAAGCTACACTCAGCCATAAAGTCCAATGGATTATCTTGGGCCAGTAAATGCATTACAGCAAAATTCATGCAGTTGCTCTCATGACTAAAAGTATTAGAGACATGCCATGCTAAGATCCTTGGAGGACAGAGGGAATAAAAATATATTGGAATGGAGTTTGAAAAATTAATAAATGAAGTGGAAAAATTCCTGAAACTGACTCTCAATTTGCAATCCATTCTTTGCTCTGAGTTAGAAAAAATGAGCTTTTGTACTCCACTGTATTACTTTGGTGTAAATATGTATATGCAGTCCTAACATGATTACAGAAATTTTGGAGAGAGAGAGGAAAAGAGGGGCTCCCTCACACTGCAGTAACTGTGTGATATGAATAAATCTAAGAGTGATCAATAAATGATGTACTGAACCTTCACAGAATCATAGAATAGTAGAGTTGGAAGGGGCCATGAAGGGTCCAACCCCCTGCTGTTGCAGGACACCAAGTTACACCATCCCACTCAGATGGCTGTCCAGTTTCTTATTTCTCTGTCCCTTAAATGATGAAACAGTTACATTGCCTTCCAACCAAATGGACTGGATTTAGGTCCTATATTCTGTCTATGGTCTTCTACTATATGATTTTAGTATCTTAAATAATAGTGTTTATTAATACTAGTAACAATAGCTCAGCCACATTGCAAACTAGGGTTCCAGTAGATTTTCAAAACAGGGTTGCCAAAAATGTTTTGTTAATTACAAATGGGTGCGACAATCATTAAGAAAGACTCCATTCGTAACTATCTCTTCCTCCAAGATACATCAAAATTAAGTTTGATTGTTAACTAGTTTTCTTGTCCTATTGATTTGCAGACTATAAATCAGCCTGTGTAACTGTGACTGTCTCACATTGTTCCCCAGCTGAATCCTGTCTCCCCATCCCTTTCCTTCCTCAATTATTTCCCTGGATTGATCTTTTCATCATAAGTTCATCAGCACAGGGAGTTCCCTGTAAATTGCCAGGCACCCTGATGGCCCTCTATGAAAAACTAGTACTACTGCTGAGGATAATAGCAATAGTGTGGTAAGAGCCCCTTCTCCATTAATTGGCAAAGGCTGCCATAGCTCAAACAGTCTGAGTCTGTCTAAGGACCAGTACCAGACCTTGATGTGCTCTCGGGCATGGCACTGCCAGCAGGCCAGGAATGATGAGAAAACTGAAAGCATCAAAAACAGATCGAAAAAGAGAAGACTAGTCTCCACAAGATGGACAACACTTCCGTTTTTCCACTGTCTCCCGGCAAATATTTGTCCCCCAACCATGACAGAGAGGGCAGTATAATTTAAAGCAAAATTATTCCTTCCTGGCATGGTAACTGTAATCTCTGAAGCGGACCACTTCTGTCCTCAACAGTCCAACTGTTCAGGGAATGTTCAGCTATACTGCTAAGGAGCCCTTGCTTATGCCCAGCTTTAGAAATATTAAACAGTTAGGAGCTTTGAATTTATTTTTCCAAAACCCAGAGAACACAGAAGTTAACAAAATCTTCAGGTATGTGACAACCATTAAATCTTAGCAAATGGGGGAGATTGCATGTGGGAGAATTGCCTAATAGCTTTTGAAAACAAGGAGGCCAAATATATACAAAAGAGCACTACACTTTTGTCTTATTTTTGTAGGTTTGTTGTTTTAAAAACACAGATTTTAAACACAAGGATGCCCATTGTTCAGAACTTCTGATGAGTTATAGATTTCTTTAAGTCCTGGAAAATATCAGGCTCCAGGGCTGTGGTGCTAAACAGTTGTAATTGGCAAATAATAAATTGTAGAACACTCCTACCAAGAGCTCTAGTGTAGATAGCTTTCCATAGGGCTTGACATAGCTTTCCATAGGGTTTGACATCAATCCAAATATTTATGTCCAGCTACAACACAAGTTAGCCATAAATCTTCCTATACCTTTTCTATGGTCTATCTTTTCTGTAGCATTTTTGTTGAGGAAAGGGTATCAGTGGGTTACCTTCAAACTCTTTGTTCTTTGATACTCCCAATTCTTTTTTCCCCATGGGCAAGTGATCCATGCCAGAGCTACTAACCTTGAAAGGACTCAGGATAAATGAGTTGCTGAATGTGCATCCAGCCACCCCTTCTGAAAAAGCATGATGATCTATTCACTCTTGTTTCCAGCCCTTTCTCCACATGCTACCTTGAGAGCCCCGTCACAATCAGTCTTCAGATCAATGTTATACCCAAACTCTGGCACAAAAGAAAGCCTCTGTTTTCATCTCCTGTGATCCTAGTACATACATTAAAATGCACCTTGTGACATCAAGGATTAGGAGCTGAGGAATATATACATAGCAGTGCATTTCTCATGGTGGATGCATGGAACAAACAGGGCCAGTTTACACATAGATTTGGGGCCATTCTGATAGAACCTGTATCTGTCACTATATGCAGAGAATTCAAACAAGAGAGAAAAACTGAATACGTAGTGAGGGAGAGAGGCAGGATGACTTACAGAAAACTTTAAAAAAGGAATTTGCTTACTGTTTGCAAATGCTGGTCCTCATTTGCAGTAAGGATAAGATGTTCATGTAAAGATTGCATTCTAAGCCAACATTTAGCAATCCCCAAGAGTTGTACCCA